TAGTTGGAGATATAGGGCCTTTAGGGAGTAATTCAGGTTAAATGAGGCCATAGGGCCTCTAGTATAACTGACCTAATATGACTGGTGTCCTTATAAGAGGAAAAGACACCAGTGGGGGTTGCAATGTCATGATTTATAAGAAATTTATATTTGGCCATTCAGATGACCAAATGTATTTCTCAGATATATTTGGTCTCCATCCACAGCTTCTGAAAATGCTTCAGAGCCATAAAGGTAAACTAGGTGTCTTGTGACTTTTGGACCCCATCTGATGGTGGGGACTGGTTGCCAGGAGAGCCAACCACGTGACTAAAGGGTTGAAACTTTCAGTCTCACCCCCTGACTGCTGGAGGCTGAACCAGCCAATGGCCAGTGACTTAGTCAATCATGCTGTGTAAGGAAGCCTCCATAAAAACCCAAGAGAACATCTGTTTGGACCTTTTCAGAGAGTGTTCATGCTTGGGGAACCAGAACGCTTCCACATGCTGCTAAGCCAGGCCCCAAACTGCATGAGGATGGAAGCTCCTTCGTTCATTTAGGACCTTGCCCTATATATTCTCTTCATTTGGGTATGGATACATACCCTTTATCATATCCTTTAATAAACTAGTAAATGTAAGTGTTTCCCTGAGTTCTGTGAGCCACTCTAGCAAATTAATCAAACCTAAGGAGGAGGTAAATGGAACCTCCATTCTGTAGCCAGTAGGTCAGAAGCCCAGGTAACAGCCTGGGGTTTGCAACTGGCATCTGAAGTAAGGGTATGGGGCAGTCCTTGTAGGACTGAACCCTTGCCCTGTGGAATCTCATGCCATCTCTGGGTGGATATTGTCAGAACTGAGTTAAATTCTTGGACACCCTGCTGGTGCAAGAAGGCAGCCATCTGCAAGCCAAGGAGAGAGGCCTCAGCAAAAAGCAAACCTGTTAAGACCTTGATCCAGCCTCAAGAACTGTGAAAAAAAAAATTTCTGTTGTTTAAAACACCCAGTCTGTGGTATTTTGTTATGGCAGCCTGAGAAGACTAATGTCCTATATGTCAGAATACTCCCTAATATCAAAGAAGGCCACAGGGAATCTGTAGCTCAAAGAAAGATGATTCCATGTGGGAAGAATAAGCATTCTTCTGCTTGTAATCTCTCCCGCTGGAAAGTAAGCTCCATTGAGATTTCTGCTTCCTTCACCAAGGCACTCAGCACCCCATAGTGCCTGGCACATGGTAGATACTTGATAAAATGGCTGGTAAAGGAATGAAATGCAAAGAAACAATTGGGCCTGATTGCAGAATCTTTGACCTATGCAACAGGCCTTGAGCCAGCAGCCCCAGGCAGTGGGGTGAGGGCTCTGGGGCTGAGCAGGTGGGCACAGAGGCCTGTCTGTGGTTGGCCTTTTCCCAATATCAAACTAGAGGGAACAGAGGCCTGGCTGGGACCCCAGGAGAAGCTGCATGAGGCATATTCCAGCCCAATACACCATCTGATTGAACATCTGTCCAGAAGTGGGCATCACTGGAAATGTGCAAGCACTGAATGATAGTTACCTGGCAGGGTTCTGTGGGGTGGTGGCTTCCTGGGGCAGAAGATGGCCCCTGGGGAAGGAGTGAGTCCTCTCTGCTCTATTAGTCACCCAGGGATGCTACAATGTGTATGCACCCTGAGCTGCGCTTTCCTTCCCCATCCCACCCCTGAATCTTCCTCTTCTGAAATTACTGATTGTCTGTAAAAAGCCACCTCAGTTTCTGAAATGGGAAAACACACTTCAGTAAAATCATCTCTGCCTTTCATAAGGCCCTGCAATGCAGGTGGTGTGGGGCCTAGACCAGGCAGCTGTCATTGAGCTTCTGGGCTCTGGCTGGTTCCGGCCCTCCTGTGCCTCAGTTTCCCTGTGTGTTTGTCCCATGAGCCAGGCAGACTAGGTGAGGTCTGGGGCCTGAAGGACATGTCCAGAGGGCAGCTGATGAGTGTGGGTGGGGCACATACCTGCTAGGGTGGGGGAAATGCAGCAGCCTCTCGCAGGCAAAGTGGGAGCTACTTGTGGGAATCCAAAGGGGGCTGGTGTGGCAGCTGCTTGCAGGGACCTCAGCAGTGGATGGAGGGGCCTGAGATGGGGAGCAGTCAGCATGAATGCAGAGGAGGGCCCACAAACACAAGGTAATCCAGTGGGAGGAAGAAGGACAGGATAGGACTGGGTGTGGGAGATGGGCTGGAACCCTCTTTCTCTTTAGGAAAATGAGGGAATCTGGAAGTGCCAGATAAATAACAGAGAGGGTAGCAACTCAGGCAGATGCTGGATGGGGCTCTGGATACAGACTCTCCTGTGCCCTAAATTGTCAAAATAACATTCAAAATGATAAATGGTATTTATGATTGTCTCTACCAGAAAAAAAACCCAATTGCTTAGTTTTCTCTAGGTTTGCATAGCTTCTACCCTGAGATAGAAAGAATTTCACTGGAGAAACCGGACGCTGCTGCAGGGAGCCTCAGTGAACAAATGTGCCGGCTATTGCCAAACAATGCATGGCTCCACGTCTAAAAGATGCTCACTCCTGGTTGGGTCCTGCATTGTCCCCCCACCCCAAATTAATGTGTTGAAGCCCTAACCGCCAATGTGACTATAGTTGGAGATATAGGGCCTTTAGGGAGTAATTCAGGTTAAATGAGGCCATAGGGCCTCTAGTATAACTGACCTAATATGACTGGTGTCCTTATAAGAGGAAAAGACACCAGTGGGGGTTGCAATGTCATGATTTATAAGAAATTTATATTTGGCCATTCAGATGACCAAATGTATTTCTCAGATATATTTGGTCTCCATCCACAGCTTCTGAAAATGCTTCAGAGCCATAAAGGTAAACTAGGTGTCTTGTGACTTTTGGACCCCATCTGATGGTGGGGACGGACTGGTTGCCAGGAGAGCCAACCACGTGATTAAAGGGTTGAAACTTTCAGTCTCACCCCCTGACTGCTGGAGGCTGAACCAGCCAATGGCCAGTGACTTAGTCAATCATGCTGTGTAAGGAAGCCTCCATAAAAACCCAAGAGAACATCTGTTTGGACCTTTTCAGAGAGTGTTCATGCTTGGGGAACCAGAACGCTTCCACATGCTGCTAAGCCAGGCCCCAAACTGCATGAGGATGGAAGCTCCTTCGTTCATTTAGGACCTTGCCCTATATATTCTCTTCATTTGGGTATGGATACATACCCTTTATCATATCCTTTAATAAACTAGTAAATGTAAGTGTTTTCCTGAGTTCTGTGAGCCACTCTAGCAAATTAATCAAACCTAAGGAGGAGGTAAATGGAACCTCCATTCTGTAGCCAGTAGGTCAGAAGCCCAGGTAACAGCCTGGGGTTTGCAACTGGCATCTGAAGTAAGGGTATGGGGCAGTCCTTGTAGGACTGAACCCTTACCCTGTGGAATCTCATGCCATCTCTGGGTGGATATTGTCAGAACTGAGTTAAATTCTTGGACACCCTGCTGGTGCAAGAAGGCAGCCATCTGCAAGCCAAGGAGAGAGGCCTCAGCAAAAAGCAAACCTGTTAACACCTTGATCCAGCCTCAAAACTGTGAAAAAAAAATTTTCTGTTGTTTAAAACACCCAGTCTGTGGTGTTTTGTTATGGCAGCCTGAGAAGACTAATGTCCTATATGTCAGAATACTCCCTAATATCAAAGAAGGCCACAGGGAATCTGTAGCTCAAAGAAAGATGATTCCATGTGGGAAGAATAAGCATTCTTCTGCTTGTAATCTCTCCCGCTGGAAAGTAAGCTCCATTGAGATTTCTGCTTCCTTCACCAAGGCACTCAGCACCCCATAGTGCCTGGCACATGGTAGATACTTGATAAAATGGCTGGTAAAGGAATGAAATGCAAAGAAACAATTGGGCCTGATTGCAGAATCTTTGACCTATGCAACAGGCCTTGAGCCAGCAGCCCCAGGCAGTGGGGTGAGGGCTCTGGGGCTGAGCAGGTGGGCACAGAGGCCTGTCTGTGGTTGGCCTTTTCCCAATATCAAACTAGAGGGAACAGAGGCCTGGCTGGGACCCCAGGAGAAGCTGCATGAGGCATATTCCAGCCCAATACACCATCTGATTGAACATCTGTCCAGAAGTGGGCATCACTGGAAATGTGCAAGCACTGAATGATAGTTACCTGGCAGGGTTCTGTGGGGTGGTGGCTTCCTGGGGCAGAAGATGGCCCCTGGGGAAGGAGTGAGTCCTCTCTGCTCTATTAGTCACCCAGGGATGCTACAATGTGTATGCACCCTGAGCTGCGCTTTCCTTCCCCATCCCACCCCTGAATCTTCCTCTTCTGAAATTACTGATTGTCTGTAAAAAGCCACCTCAGTTTCTGAAATGGGAAAACACACTTCAGTAAAATCATCTCTGCCTTTCATAAGGCCCTGCAATGCAGGTGGTGTGGGGCCTAGACCAGGCAGCTGTCATTGAGCTTCTGGGCTCTGGCTGGTTCCGGCCCTCCTGTGCCTCAGTTTCCCTGTGTGTTTGTCCCATGAGCCAGGCAGACTAGGTGAGGTCTGGGGCCTGAAGGACATGTCCAGAGGGCAGCTGATGAGTGTGGGTGGGGCACATACCTGCTAGGGTGGGGGAAATGCAGCAGCCTCTCGCAGGCTGGAGGGTGGCCCCGGGCTGGCAGGGTTCCTGCAGGGAGAAACAGGGCCTGGTGGCAGGTGGGACCCTCAGCAAGGTCCAGGTCCAGCAGACTCTTCTCTGAGCCTGGGGTGCAGTGGCTGTAGCTCCCATTCACTACACAGAGAAAGACAGGAAGAGGGGGCAAAGTGAGTGGAGACAACCTGCAGAGGGGCACAGGGAGAGAGCAGTCACTGGGGTACAATGTGGGAGAGCACCTTTGAGCCAACACTAACTGGACCCCTGCTGCAGTTGAGGCACCAGGGATACCTCACTGAATTCCCATAATCACCAGTGGGATCAGTAATAAAACCCCCAATTCTCAAATGTGGATGCCAAGCTCCAGCGGTTAACCATTACACAGATGCCAAGCACTTAACATGTACCCACCACTACTCCAGTTGCAAGAAACACTGGTGAATAGACACCAAACTCCTGTCTCATGGAACTTGCAATCTATGGTCCTCATGTTGCTCACCAAGCACTCACAAGGTGCACAAACACATGCTAGGGCTGCTGGTCCAGGGCTGTGCTGCCCAGCAGGCCGGGGAAGGGGCCCTGACATTTGTATGTCAAGGAGCAGGTGCTGTCCTGTTTATCACCAAAGCTCAATCTACATTGCTTTCCAAGTTACAGCACACCACAGAAATGCAGGATTCTGTTATTCATACCTCTGCATCCTCCACAGTGCTTCAGCAGCCTATCATATGCCCTGTCTTGCCCAGCCACTAGGTTTTCATGGAGACTAACTGGGGCAATAGATGTGAAAGCCCTTGAAAAACTATATAAAGTACAACAAAAATGTTGGGCATGGTTGTTATAAGCTACTTCTCCTCTCAGGGCTGTAGTTTTCTCATCTATAGTGTCAGGAAGGTTAATCTGGAAAGGGTCTTCTTAGGCTTTTGGCCTTGTCACATAGCAAGATTGTGCTAAGGAGGAAAACACATGGGCTTTGGGGCCTTGGAATGAGTCCTGCTGCCCCAACCAAGTCTGTGGCTCAGACAAGTCCCTCCGAGGCTGACCCTCAGGCCCCCTGTGTAAAGAAGAGACAGCCACATTGGTTCTGCAGAGATGCTGTGAGGTTTTGAGAGCTGAGGTGCAAAGCCCCTAGTATCTAATAGGTGCACCAGGAATGGAAATTGTTCTTATTGTCAAATAGCATTTTGAAAAGCATAAAGTATCTTACAGATGTAATAAATATTATAAACAGGCCCAAATACTGTCCAGATACTATCAACACTGGACAAGCTCAACCACAAGGGTAAGCAAAGAGCTAACACCAGAACACGTGCAGCCCCTCCGCGTAAGGACAAGGAGACCAACAGAAGCACCATCCGCTGAACGGTGTGGGAGGCCCTGGGTGCAGGCTGGCGGTTTACACCACCCTCCCATTGGGGCCTCTGCACTGCCTTCCAAGTGAGTAGTAGTATCCTCACTGTAGAGAGGAGAAAGCAGAGGCTCAAGCTTAAATTACTCTCCCAAGGTGCAGTCTGGGCAGGATCTCTGGCCAAGTCTGTTACTTGGACAGAATTGTTAAGTAATAAAAAGTGGCCTCTTAGATGCCCTCTCAAAAAAAAGGTCAATTCTCAAGGAATATAATTTAACATAAAGGCAGGGGTAGCCACTAAGGGGTAGTCTTTAACAAACCCCCAGATGTACCCAAAGCTCTTAGGGACAGTTCTAGTCAGTAAAGGCTCCCTGCTTCATCAGCCCCCAGCATAATGCACACATCCTCCCAGGGGGCTTAGATGGAACACACTTGCCTGCTCAGCTACTGAGATTATCTTTTTTCTAAAGATAATGTTTCATGTTTGTCCAAATTCATTTTGATGGATTTACAAAGAGCATTTCATCACTAAGAGGCATATGTCTGTTAAAAAATTTAACATTTGAAATTGGTTATTCTTCATCTTTTAAATAAATTCACAACAATAAAGGATTGATTATTTGGTGGTACACCTATGTATTTTCTGTGGTGCCACTGGGAAGACCTTACATATTGTTGAAGTGTAGTTACTGAACAGGGAAAATTTTAAAGAAAGCAAGTTATAAAACAGTTTTGTACATTATGATCCCACTTCAGTTATAAGTCTGTATGTTTATATTCATACAGGAAAAAGTCTGGGAGAATACATCGAAACGTCTGAATGAAAGGATTATGGATAATTTTATCTTTCCTGTTTGTACTTTCACATTTTCTCCAATGAACATGTATTACTTGTGTGGTAAAAATAAAAGTTATTTGAGAGAAAAAAAAAAGTGGCCTCTTAGAGGGTCAAATCCAACCCTATCCTCAAGGATCCACTTCCCCAACCATAGGCAGTCCTTTAGCACATGATTACCTCTGTGCCAAGTCCAGACACTCAGTGCTAACTCACCTTGTGCCTGAGGCTCAAGGCAGGCACCAGGCATTCACCTGCCTAGTACTTCACAGTTTGCAGATGAAAATGCACCGCTCTCAGAGGGTGAGGGGCTCAGGTGAGGCTCCGGGTTCCCAGGCACAGGCTAGCCTGCTCAAGAGGGCTCAGATAAAAACTGGCACAGAAGCGGCCCTCTGTCACCTTCCCAGGCAGCATCTTACTGGGAGGAACACTCACCCCGCTGACTTTGGCTGCTGCATGGCCAGCCCCTTGCAAGCGTATTTTTAAATAACTTTTTGGTTGTTTTTTAATTAAAAAGAAATCCCTGGTAACAAATGTGAATGGCCTGAGTTAATGAGATCAGGCTGCCTCTCATTTAACTCTGTCTCTGCTTGGCGGTCTTTGCCTTTTCCAAATCATTTCTGCATGCAACTTTATTGTCCCATTGAGGCAAACTCTGGGCCTGGTCCTCAGAAAACTGTGGATAATTTTATGACCACTAATAGCAGTTGGAGCAAAGAGAGCTTAATCATCACATGGCACTGTTTGGCCAGGGTCCTCCTCCCAGAGTCTTTGGTTTGGGGAGGTGGCTCTGAGCTTCCTTCCAGGACCCACCAGACCCATTGGGGGCCTTGGAGTTACTCCTTCACTCAGCGCATGTATGGAATACTGGAAAGAAGGTCCCTGAGAAGGTGCCAGGGAGCCTGGCACTTATCAAGCTTGTTTGTCAAGCCCTTCCTAGGTGCCAGGCACATTCTTTTCTTTCAAGTGTCCATCCTGTGAGGCAGACTAATTCTAGCCATTTTTCATATGAGAAAAAGTTGAGGTTTGGAGAGATTAGGCTCAGGGGTCTGTAAGAGGTGAGGCCACAATTCAAACCCAGATCTCTCCAACTTCAAAGCCCAACTTCTGTCCTGCTGCCTTTTAGGCAACTGATGAACTGGGGACCCAGAGAAAAATTCCCCACCTTTGACTCCAGTGAGAATAATGTTGGGGAGCCTTTTCAGCCAAGTACAACCATTACAATGACTCCTAAAATTCAGTCTTTGGGATAACTCTGCTAGGTGGCTAGGCCACTCCATCCACAGAGGAGTTCACAGAGAAGTTTAGTGGTTTACCCAAGGGAGATGCAAACACATCATCTCTCTGGGGAAAAAAAACAGTCATTAATCTGCAAACTGGGGCCTGTTTGTATCTTGTCCACTGGATACAGTAAGAGTTTTCCTACAACAAATAAGCAGTCTGGCTCTAGGAGAGTGGAAGGAAAGAGCCCCTCCTGTCACAGGTTGGCACTGCTTAAGACTCCAGTCTATTTAAGCCCATCTTGGGTGACCCTCAAAGCGCCCTGGACAAAAGCATCAGCCTTGGCATCTGGCAGAGGGACATGAGCACCAGAGCTAGCAGTGGCTGCCTCAGGTCACACAGCAATGGCTAGCATAGTTGGGGTGTGAACCCAGATTTCCCAAAGCCCATACCAGATGCCACCCCAGGACCATCTGCTTTCTCAAAGGCTAAAAATTAACCAGAGGCTGTAATAAGTGTCCCAGAGATTCTGCCACCACCAGAAAAATGTGAGCACTGTCGCCAGTACCCACCATACGTCCAAGTCAGCCAGGAGACCACCCACTGCTCTTTTGCCTGTTGGCCTCCTGCCTCTCTGTCCCCAGAGGTGTCACAGGATCCACCCCTGCTCACTCTCCATCTCTGGGAAGCAAGGATGAAGTCTTTCTCTGGGTAGGCAGGAGAATGAGGGGTACTCTGGCCCCACTGCCCTAGGCAGGCTGAGGGTGTCTGGGAAGGGGCTGTACCCAGCAGCCATGTCTCCCTGTGTGCCAGTGGTGGCCAAGAGCAGACCTGGACCTGGCTTTCCCCATGTAAATTAAGCTTCTTGGAGGCCTGGAAGGTAAGGGGGTTCTGTGTTTTATTTTTACAAGTTACTGAGAAATCATAGAATATCAAGCCTGGAGCTGATTGACCATCTATTTAATTAACAGATGAAGAAACTGGGGCTCAGAAAGGGAAAGGACCTCCTTGGTATCTCAGCAAACCCATAAAAAAGAGCCTGGACTGGCACTCCTGGGGCTAGGTAAGAGTTTGGTTTGGTTTCTTCTTCAAGTCTCTGTTTTCTCATCTGTAAAATGGTGCTAATACCTGCTTACAAGCCTGCAGTAACAAGGGACATTATGCATGCAGTGTACTTGGCATGGTACCTAGCTCACAGTAAGCACTCGGAAAGTCCTGAGGGTGATAATGAAAATTATTTCTTGTCCTATTTATTCTCAAGTAAGGATGGGGCTGGGAGGCAGGGCCTTTATTCTATCCCAGGAAGGTCAGTTTGGATGACCCCAAGACCAGACTCAGAAGGACAAACCCCCAAGGCTCAGAGGTCACCAAACGCAGGACCTGGCAGCCTGAATGAGGTCACAGCCAGCAAATCTAAGCAAACGGCTCCAGTTACACATGAGAGAGCTTTGCAAATTACTGTAATGACTTGGCTATAAAGTGGTACCACATATAAGGTGACTCTCCACAAAAATTTTAATTTAAGCTGAAACTTGCCAAGTCTGCATGAGAGGGACAATGATGCATTCAGCATCTTGGGCCCACATGCCATCAACTTGCAGTCCCAGGAACAGCCAGCATCAGAGTCTAGGGAGGCCTACTCAATGACTGCTCCTCGCTTGCCAACAAGCAGACTTTTAGTGACCATTAAGTGCCAGGCTGGTGATAGGATACATCACTTTACAGTCTATAAAA